TTTCTAAAGGTTAGGCAGGTCCCTACCTAATGGAGTGGAGTTAAGAGATCTCGTCGGGGTTGTATGTCTTAATAAAATTGCATGACAAACTCTTATTTATATAGTCAATTTGTGTGTATTGTGGTTGCACATAAACCGTGAGCTATTTAGCTGACTATAATATACATCTTAGGAGCCGAAGGTTCTGGAATCGACAACGCAAGGGACTCGCTTAAGATTTCAACTTTTATTCAATTAGGTGTTTTTGTTAAGCGTTTGGATTTGGTTGAGTTGTTTTTAGTGACCAGGTATGGGACAAATTAACTTTTAAGACTTATTTAATTATGATGTTTAGACTTCCGCGGTAAACATTTTGGTTTTTATTATTGGAGTACTTAATGATGTATTTTGGATGACGTAACATTTCATTTGGCGAAATAAATGGGGGTGTTGGAAACCAAATAGTAACTATTGCATCTTTGCATCTATGTTGTGTTGATAATAAATGTAATAGGACAACACTTGAGAAAGATGTAATAACAGTGTGGATTTGTCGTCAGGTACGCGTATAGCAAGTGGCAACTCAATCATTGTAGCAGGTGGTTTATATCAAGTGACAAACTCTGTCATTGTAGCAGTGACTTGAATCAAGTGACGTCTTTGTCATTGTAGGGAGTCTGATCCAATTGTACCTTTTTGGAGCACTTGGGCTACCGCAAAAGGATTATGTTTAGTCTGAACTAGTGCCTACGTATAGATCCCACTAATCGAGATTAGCTTATGCAAATGTTGATTCGTATTTCATACTTTGTTCGGTTTAAGGTTACCCCACTAATACGACAACAATGCATGTAACTTTTTTCGTTATAACGAGACCATCAAAACTAGATATTGGTTTCATTTGTGTCAAATCCAACAAAAAAAGGTACATTTTGGCAAAATTAGATTTGATACTCCTTAATTTGGTAGTGTTAATTTAAGAGTAAATTTTATTTTCATTAAAAAACCAATTTATTTGTCATATTCACCACCACCGTCACGTCACGACAACCACACACCTCCAAATATCACAAATTCTTTAAATAGTTGAAAGTTAAGTATCACATTCCCATCCAATTAGGGTTGTTTGTTTATCTCTTAATAGTTTTATTAAAAAACAACATTTTAATTGTTAAGAGATATCTTGTTTGACAAAAAAAGTCTGCTTATTAATGTTCTAAAACCCTCTAAATGATTTTGTATCATGTGTCTCCCTTAACCATTCAATGCCTTAATTTAATTGTAAATAATTATCAAACAATTATATTTTATTTTGCACTATATCATGAAAGCCTCTTAATCATTCTCACCACTTGATCATTCTACACCAAACTATTCAACAATTGTTAAACAACCCTTTGTCAAACAAGAATCATCTTTTAACGATTCAGATACTGTTTTTTAATGAAACTATTAAGATGTAAACAAACAACATCTACATCTTAAGATGTATTATTTTGACCTATAAATATTTTATAACACCTACGGAAATCGAACTCAAAGACTCCTATTTCATGAAAAAACGACAATTAAATTCATAATTATCAGTGAAACGACTGGCCCATAAAGTTTGATTCGAGATAATTGTGTAAATTAATTTGTTATGGAATGATACATTATAGGTAACACATCACATTGAAGAGGGTCCGCCTTCATTTTCTTAATAAAAGCATTCGTGATTAAGATTTGTGCGTAACAAAGATGGCAATTATGGGTGGGTGTCCACGGCACGGGGACCGAGACCACTATTTTAAACTATATTTATCAGGGTCGGGTTGGATTTTTAGCTAACCGTTTGATTTGTAGATATGAAAATATTTTTAACTTTTAGCTCTTAAAAATGAGTGAAACATTATTTCAATCATCAAAAGTCGTGATCGAGTATTCTGTTTTACTTTATATAGAATAAAATAGATGTCAAACCCGACCGTCTTTATGAATAAGATATTATTTGAACGAAGAAAATGACAACTTTAACAATTACTTTAACAACCACATGAATTTGCTCGTTTTAATAATCATATAAATAAATACAAACTATTATATTTATAGGAATTGAAATCAAATTTATCGTCAAACGTCTGAATAAACTATGTTTTGATAATTTTTCAAGAGGCGTGATAAAAACACGTCTAATTAGGGATAAAATATATTAAAATACAACAAAATTTGTCTTAATTCCATTTTACTATGACGATGAACTTTTTTTTTACCTATTAATGTAACAAACGTTTAAGTTTGTCTATTTTACCGATTAGTGGATGACTAGAAGGGTACTCGAGCAATGCATCGAGACACTTCTCATGTTAAATGTTTTGTTTTTTTTATCTATATCGATATAATACGGTTTTATGTGGTTTTGATTTTTAAATAAAATATAAATTCTAAATATCATAAAATTTTAAAAAGAGTATATGATATTAGTATCAAATTAACTATTTAAAAACTCTTGTTTTGTATAGTTTCTTTAATTCAATCTTTTATTATAATTTAATTTTACGTAACGAAGTAATTTAATTTAGGTTTAATAATATAATTTTTTATAAAAATAGTAATTAAGTATTTTGTTATAACTCAATGATCATCTTAATTTTATTTTAGATATTTTATATTTAAAAATAAGAGTTTATCATATATTTGATTATGTTTATTTGTAGTTAGTTACACGAATTCGAACATGGAACTTTAATAAGTTATACTTATGCACAATCTACTTGTAATTTTGAATTTTAAAGTAATAAGCATCAATGAACAGTACTTTGTGCATAAAATATGATTTTTAAGAGTTTTTGTTAAATGCTTTATAATATAATACTAGTCGTGTACCTGCGCAATGCGGCGGGAGCCATGAATTTTAACGATTTTGAAGTTCCACTGGTTTTATAAGATAAGATTTAACGATGATATAGGTTAAACTTGGTCTTTACATATTAATACAATTTGAATAAATGAGAGTTATGGTTCCAATTACAGACTATCGATGAAAAAAATTGTATGACAGTTTAAAATCCAATATATTTAAAAT